CATCCCCCAGTGGATACAGGGCAGTGCCTAGCAACACTGCTACCGATTTGCAGGCACCGCTAGGGACAGATGCTCAAAATGTACTGTTAACAGGAAAAATCAAATTGCCAAAAAACATTATCGGTTATTTTTCACCAATGGATAAATCAGTAAATATTGATTGTCGACTCTGTGCCCCCTTTTCGTTGTCCCATTTTTGAAAGTTTCACCTGGGGCTGGCCTTGTGGCACAGTGAGTTAAGCCTTCACTCGCACCACCAGCAGCATCCCATGTGAGTGAATCAGACTAAGTTCTGCTCTACCCTCAGCTCCAGCTCCCCGCTAAAGCACCTGGGAAAGTAGCGGAAGATGGTCCAAGCGCTTGGACCCCTGCTCCCAAGTGGGAGACCAGGATGGAGTTCCTGGCTCCTGCCTTTGGCCTGGCCCAGACTGGACTATTGGGTGCATTTTGGGAAGTGAATGGAAGCCCTTGCTCTCCCCCCCCCACACGCCCTTTCTCCTTCCTTCCTTCCCTCCCTCCCTCCTCCTCCTTTCTGTCACTTTGCCTTTCAAATGAATAAATCTTTAAAATGTCACCAGTTGTATTACCTCAATCTTGTACTGTTTGAAAGACAACCTGTCTTGCAAAAGCATTCAAAGCAGATGAGAAAACAGAGCTCAGAGTAGCTCTTGAAAGCCATTAGAGTTCATAGTTTGATAGAAGCGTTTTCCCCAAGTGTGAAATAAAAGGCTAACTGGAAGCTAGACCTCGCATACGTGTATCTGTATACACGAGTCTGGGCGTCATCTTGCGGCTGTGAACAGAACCTGGGTCACCCTGTTCCTTTCTGTGCTGCTTGGGTTTTTACCCTGAGGATGAATTACTTGTATAGCATACAAGTGTCCATGCATGCAAGTCTCTCCACCTGAGCGCCCCGCTCCGTGACTTGCTACGCCCTGGAAGCTTTGTCCCTTTGTCCTTCTTGGCCAGGGGCAGCACCATTTCCCTTGACTTGGTGGCCTTGCTGGGCCAGATGCTGTGTTCAGTCATCCTGGGGTGACTGTTGGCTTTTGCTCCCAGGGCCTTAGTGATTGTATCTCTCCCAAAGATATTCCAAGAAGATGAAGAAGAACACAGGGGAACATTCTTGAACCCTTCTGCGCTCATAGCTTGAATACCTTAATAAAAAGCTTTGAGAAATACGTTGTGCCGTAAAAGACTGAAGCTGAAGGAAAACATACCCTGGCCTATTTTGCTAAGCCCCACCCTGGGCCTAATGGGCAGAAGGAGCCGCTCATTGTAAAGCTATTGGTTAGTCTGCCTCGCACAGGCGGCCGCGCGCCTCCCTCCATAAACGGGAGGAAACAATGGGGTCTTTTACGTGCCGGTAGATATGGTGCTCATTAGCTAAATGCGGACTTTGTTGGGCTCTGGAACAGAACAAAATATCCTACAGCAAGGTCATGGCTATGGCAAGCTGGGATGAAAGGGGACTCTCACACCTGTGTCTGGGTTCTGGGTGGGGAAGGAGCCAGGCTGGCGGGGCCAGGGCCAGAGGTGCTGTCCAGGTGGCCGCCTCCCCCTCTCTAGGGTGAGGCGGGAAAGAGATGGAGTGTGGACCCCGGGCGAACAACCGGGCAGAGCCAGAGGGTCTCAGCCCTGCTCTTGCCTAGCTAGTTTGATCACAAGTACCTCTTTTAGTAGAAAATGTCTGAGCTGTGCTTCCAATTTACATTGTAATGAGGTGCTGAGTGTCTCATTCGAAACTGTGAAGGGAGAATTGTGGAGACCAGAACAGAGGTTGCTTCTATAGATGAGGCAGCACAGCACCTGCGGTCCCCACGATCTTCGGCTGAAATGAACTGGCAGTTCTAGCTGCAAGCAAGCAGCCCCCTACTAACTTCTGGCCCAATTTCCCACCAAAATATCTGTGAAGGTACAGAGGACGCCCAAGACTCATAGTAGCTGTCAAGTGGCTATAAACTGAGCGTGGAAAGAGTTTCCACCAAACACAGGGCAAGTGGAGCAGGACCCAGGGAAACAGCACTGGCAACTGGCTTCCCCCGTGCAGCAGGCGATCCCGCGGCCTTGACAGACGCAGAGCGAAGCCACAGGAGCCTCCTGGGGTCTGCAGCAGTCATAACAACGGGCAGGATTTCAGAACCGGGGCCTGGCACGTCCTGTTCCTCACCAGTGCTGCTCCCGCCCACGGCCCTTCAGAGGTCGCCCATTCCCAGAAAGGTCGAGAGTAGGGAGGTTGGGGATGGGCGAGAGAGCAAGGGGGAGTGTAGAGAGGTTTCCAGAGGATGCAGTTCCCAAGGTCAGTGTTTTCAGGCAGAGTGGGGAAATCTTCATCACAGCACAGAAGGAGGGTCGCGTCTCTCCTGCAGTTCATCAGTTCAAGCTATCAGCGAGCCAGGGACAAGGCTACAGGAGCCAGTGCACCTGCACGCGAGATGGGTACCTGACAGGAGTGGTCTTCTGGGCCTTTATTCCTCAGTACAGTAGAGTTATGACTCTGTGTTTGGATTCTAAGATTTTTTTCTGAAACAGCATTCTGCTGAAAACCAGGACCGTGCTTCCTGCCAGGTGTTGGGAATTGGGTCCTACACCATTCCAGCTCTCAGAATGTGTGAGAAGTGGGGCTGGACTGTGCGCTCATGCATCTATCCTGGGAACTCTCTCTTTGGGTAGAGTCAGGTAGGAAAGGGGAACTGGACAAGGAACAACCAGGAGTGGCTATTGTGCTGCAGTAGGTTAAGCCACGGCCCGCAACACCAGCATTCCTTATCAGAGTGCCAGCTCAAGTCCCAGCTACTCTGCTTCTGATCCAGCTCCCTGCTAATGCACCTGGGAAAGCAGCAGAGGGTGGCCCTAGCACTTGGGTCCCTGCCACCTATGTGGGAGGCCTGAATGGAGTTACAGACTTCTGGCTTCACCCTCAACCAGACCTGGCTCTTGTGGCCATCTGGAGAGTGAACCAATGGGTAGAATATTATCTGTCTCTCGCTCTCTTTTTTTGCCACCCTGCCTTTCAAATAAACAAATCTTTTTTTTTTAAAGGAACAGGAACACAAATAACATCTCAACAACTCAGAAGGACATGAAAACAAAAATTATTTATGGCAAAATCGAGAAGGCATTTTTGGAAAACTGTTTGGCACTTTGAATAGGCAGGGTTTCTATGAAATGGGTCTAGAAAGCTGCAAGGAGAAAACAAGATGAGTTGAGAAGGGATTGAAGGAGGGCCAGGAAACTCAGACTCATATTAATGCTAAGATTAAAATCATCGAATTGGAGGCAGTGAAAAATCAGATTAATGCCCAGAAAATTAAATCATTGACATGGAGGATAAATGCTAGCATGCTTTACGAAATGCAGAGGAAATGGGCAAAGCAATAAAGATTATGAGAAAGGAAATGATATACTTGGAAGATAAATAATGGAGACAAAATCCAAGTGTAGGCCGTTCCAAGAAAGAATCCAAATATGTGGGTGTAGAACCCATAAAGCGTAGCTGAATAAAACAATGCAGAGATTTTGTATGAACATGTGAATCAAAAATAAACTCATAAAAAAGGAAGATGTAGGTGTGTTTTTGCTATGTCCGGAGCGGTGAGAACTCCCTAAGCTTGCTCCCAGGCACGCCGGAAAGCACACGTTCAAATGATGAAACGTGAGGACCGGGTTAGCTCCCTTTGTTCCCAGCAGACAGACGCGGGAGTGTGGCGAGCTGGTGCGAGGGGCTTTCAGATTGAGGGGAAAGAGACAAGCAGGGAGCTGGAAGAGAAAGGGCTTCCAGAGACGGACTGTGAGTAGCGGGGGAGAGGCAGCGAGGGGAAGATGCTGTGTTTTGTAGGGGGGACGCTTCCTGCGTCTGTGATCGGCCACAGCCCCCTCGCGCAGGCATCACCCAGAGCACAGTGTGCCGGACAGTGGTGGAAGAAGCCCGGCTCTGGTCCTGGAGAGGTCCGACTTGGAGTCTGAGCTCCATAGCTTTCCCCTGTGGTGCTTAACCTCCCTGAGGGAGACCAGATGGTGGTGAGGGCCCGGGAGGTAAGCAAGAGAAGTGCTTACGGAGGAGCCTGGTGCGGCATGGGCTCTCAATCTGTGCTGGGCACGGATAGTTCACCGAGGCAACTGGCCTGCCTGTGGACATGGCCCTTCCTTTCTGTCTTAATTATTTTTCTTTATGTCTTAATTATTTTAATAGAAACACGTTAAGCTGAAGCACACATTTTCCAGGCTCATTAAATAGAACATAATGAATGCAATGAGCGCTTCAGTTTTTATTGGGTGTTTGTTTTCCTTTGTGTGCCTTGCTGTACGACGTAAACCCAGCAGAGTCTGTGCAGCTGAGGCGGGCAGTGGTCCAGCCTTGTCCTCCCCTCCAGGCGCCCACTCAAGCGGTGAGCAGTGTGTCCTGACTTGGTCTTCCCGAGAGTGCCATCAGGGATGTGCTGCAGGCTGCGGTTGTCTGCAGCCACACGATGTGTGGGGTGGCCAATCCTGTTACAGACTCCGTGGCAGCCTGGTGCCCCTCCCTTGAGGTCAGCCTGTAGCTTTTCCCAAACACCCTTTCCTACATTGGTTTTCGTGTCAATATCCTTTGTTGGAAAAAAAAAATCAAGCTGATTACGAGTGTACCATTGGGAGAGTCTTTCAGAGACTCCAGATCTAAGATAGTTCATTTATCCTGTGGTTACACCACAGAAAGAGATGTAGTTAGCTCAGAAAGGAGGTTAGAGGAGAGATCTGCTGAAGACCTGATTTCTGGTTCTGGCCCTACTCTTTAGTACCTGTACAAACGTGGAAAAGTCATCAAAATTTGATAAGCTTCAGTTGCTGCACAGAAAAAAAATTTTTAAAAACAGTTTATTTTGGTGCCCCCCAAAAATTTGAATCCATGCACACAAAGTCCATAGAAAATGTATATCATGGAAAAAATATGCAGAGATCTCCAGTTTTTTCCAGCAAAATAAACTTAGGTTTTAATTGCATTTTCTACTCCCTTTTTGCAGTATCTACGTGTCTCTGAGCACTGTGCACACAGCAGTGAACAAGACAGGCCATTCGCCTCAAGCATCCATTCAGGAAGGGGAAACAGAGAGGGTGAACAAAATGCGTCCCCGAGCTGGTGTCTGAGAGCGCTTTCAGGTAAGGGCCATGAGGTGACTAACAAGGCAGCCTGCCTGTCTCTCAGCCTTGCTAGGCCTTCGTGTTTGTCCCACAAAGGGTTTTGTAAACTATAAAATAGAATTGATTCTCAGAAAACAATGAAGTACCCGTACACTTGCAGTCCTAATTACCCACAATTCTGTGATTCTCAAAGGAGAAGTGGTACTTGGAAGGAGGAAGAAGCATCCGGAAAGTTGTCAGAGGGATGCCAAGCGCTGCTTTCCAGTTCATCAGACACTTTGTCTGCACTTACCTCGGCCTGTCCATCCTCTAAGTTTTCAAACTGTCTCCCGAATCCTCGGGCAGGGACTGGCAGGAGGAAAGGAAGAACTTTTCTTCTACACACAAACGGCTGCTCGTGGCACTTGGGGGAGACCCTTCCCTTAGTCCTGGAATGCTCTCCAGCAATGAATGAGGAACTGAAATGGCGCCCAGGACAAAAGCTCCGCTCTGCCCTTTTGTGGTGCGTCCTCTGCAGAGTTCCCTGATGGACAACTCGATCTTGAATGGAAAGAGAAACTCGGAACAAACTGATGACCAATACGTCTAATGCCACGACAAAGCAAACTTAGTACGGGATAAAGGCACATTTGTGTACCTTGCTTTGAGATTTTTGCTTTCCTGGGCTGGAACTTGATAATTCTCTCAACCGTCCAGTGAGGTTGGTATCACTCTGTGTGCTTTACTGATGGGAAAGTGGAGGTTCCCCATGAAGGCGTCATCCACAGCGTGTTGTTGCACCTGCTGCTGGTCTAGCAGCCTCCTGGAGCTTAGGCCACGGTGGTTTTCTTCGATGCTTCCAGGGACCCATGGTATGAGGGGGCTCCAAAACATTCCTGGACAATGGGATGAAAGGTAAGTTTATTTTGGAGAAAAAAAAAAAAAGAAACTGAAATCCATGCAAAGTGTTTTCATAATACATGTTTACTATTAACTTTTTTTTTTAAATATTGATTTATTTATTTGAGAGGCAGAGTTACAGACAGGGAGAGTGAGAAACAGAGAGAGGTCTTCTGTCCACTGGTTCACTCCCCAAATGGCTGCAATGGCCAGAGCTAGCCCCAATTGAAAACCAGGAGCCAGGAGTTTCCTCGAGATCCCTCACGTGAGTGCAGAGGCCCAAACACTTGGACCATCCGCCACTGCTTTCCCAGGCCATTAACAGGAAGCTGGATTGGAAGTGGAGCAGCCAGAACAACCAGCATGCATATGGGATGCCAGTGCTTCAGGCAAAGGCTGGGCCACTACACTACAGCGCCAGCCCCTTCTATTAAGTTTTTGAAGACACCTGGTGTCCTTGCCTGTGCTGGGCCTTTGTGGTCACCCTCTTTTCACCTGTCCTTCTCTCCCTCTTGGTCTCCTGTCTCCTCCCCAATCCTGTACAAATCCCCATTAGTTTTTGCTGGCCACAATTCTTTGCTTCCAGCCACGTAGGAAGAGTTCTGTTTTCCCCTAGGTTTATTTGTGTCTTGTCAGTCATCCCCATCGCCAAGTTGAAGTTCATTCCTGCTGGTTTGTGGCTGTATCCCCAGCACCAGGCACAACATCCAATAAATATCTGGTCAATGACAAACAGAGGAGAGAAGGAAGCCCAACACACTGTTTTTATTGGAAGGTTTAATCACACAATACAACAGTTTCTCCTGACGTAGTGAAAATGTTCGAATGTATAGCATGTTGAATTGTATAGTATTGGTTCAAAAACTGTTGACATAAAGTAAGGGCTATCAGCTGAGGTTTGTCTCAAGGAAAAGTGAATTTACAGCTGAGTGGATTGGTTGCTTATGACAAACAGTCACTGGACCAGCAGTCACTATCTCATTTGGGATTCCTTGGTGTCAAAAGATTGGCTAGGCCCTGTGTGAGCAAAGGAGGTCCCTGAGGGCCACAGGTCCCCTCACACAGAGCTGGGTCGTCTGTACAGCTCCTCCTGACACCCGATGTCAGCCCGGAGGCCTGGTGGAGGCTGCGGGTCGACTTCCTTCTCTTCCCTGGGTCCGTTTCTCTTTCTGTGAAAGCAGAATTCGTGTCCCCAGCCTGCCTGCATCCTTGGTCACCAGGGTGAGATGGTGGGGAACAGATGGAGGACACTGTGCTTCGTGGAGGTACAAGTGCAGTTGAAATGGAAGGGCTCGTGGCCGTGAAAGGCACACACGAAGCATCGGGGCATCTGGTTTCTTTCCTTGAGGATAATTTGCACTGTGATGAAGAATTCCAGGTCAACTCCCAGCTTCTGTTATCTGGTTGGACTCTGGATGGAGGCCTCGGGGATCCTCCCGAAAACACAGGCTTGGGCCAGGCAAACCTGTACGGGCTCCTCAGACGCCGCGCACTCCCCGGAAGCCCGTTCGCTTTGAATATTTTGCCAAGTCGCCTGCCCACTCTTGCAAGGAGATTTGAGCCGAAAGCATATAGGAAGCATTGTCTGCCAGTGCTTCCCCTCCCCCGGCCACAGACTCCCGCCTTGCCCGCACCCTCCTCCTGCCTTGCTTCTGCTCCCTCCCACACCCACATTCGTGGGGGACCTTTTGCCCTGAATTTCAGCAGGAAACGCAACCAGCAACCAGATGTCTGACTTTTCCACCCCGTTGGCAAGGATTAGCCATCTTTCCTGTAAACTTCCGGCCTTTCCTCTCCGTTGTGGCTTTCAGCTTCTTCACGCTCCATCTCCTTCAGCACAGACACGTGAACACCCTCCAGAGGAGAAACAAAAGGCAGCCGGCCCAGCGCTGCAGCCCAGGGCTCCGAGGGGCTGGCGTGGGGAGGGCAGCGGCCCAGCTCCCAGCTTCGTGCTGTCGGTCGCCAATGCAGACCCAGTGGGGAGTGGGAGACCACAATCAAAGATGGATCTAATATTGAACAAATCTTAACGTAACGCACCAAGGACAATTATGCAGGTTCCAAGTGTGAAAAATAATAGGAAAGGGAGCGTTCTTAGATCCGGGAATATGAGACGCCCAGCAGAGCACTTCGGAGCTGGGAGAGACTGGATACAGCAGCTCAGTCCATCCCTTGACTTTCCAGGGACAGAAACCAAGGCTGTGCCTGGGCGGAAGGGACCTGCCCCACGTCCCTTGCTTGAAGGCAATGTGGGGTACTCCAAGGGACTCACAGGATAGCAGCTCAGGCCTGAGCAGCCCGCTTAATCTCTCTGCTTTCTGACTCTGCCTGGGGCCAGTGGGCTGGGCTCCTTCTCAGGCGGCCACTGTGAGCCACAGCTCTTGGCCACAAAGCAGCAGTGGCTCTGGGGCCTTCTCGTCCTGTGTCTTGCAGCCACCCGCTAACAACCCTGAGCAGAGCAATTATCTTACCAGGAAGCAACTCTGGCTTCAAATCAGCCCTCGTGGACAATCCACACACGAAAAGGAGCAAGTGGCTCTCAAAGCAACGTGTGAGAAGCAGATGGGTTGGCGCAAGAAGTCCTTAAAGGAGATTTTCGGGAGTTCTCACTCAGCTGCAGAGTACTTTGTACCCCCTCCACCTCTCCACCTCCTGGCTTTCCCCAGGCCCCTGTGTCTTTGGTGATGTAAACCCTCATTCCTCCATGCCTACATGTGTGACTAGTCAAACCACCACCCCCTCAGTGCCTCAGTTTCTCACCTATAAAATGGGGATATTAGTTCTTATCTGAACTATTGCTTGGGAATCAGGAGAAGCGAGGCTCTCACCTGTGGCTCCTAGCTGGCATTTAATGAGCTTCAGTTCTCCTAAAACCCTCTTCCTATAACACACATCCCTTCAGCAGCAGGTCCAGCAGAGCGGGAGGGCCCGTCTTCAGCAGACCCTCGAGCACCGAGCTTCCCCCTGCACTTGACTTTGTCCTGCAGCCTCTGCTGCTTCCGGGAAGGAGAACAGGTGTGGGTCTTACCGGGGGTGGTCACCTTGTCCAGGTGGCAGAGTGACTGTAGAAAGAGCCCCCCCATCCCAGGCCCGGAGGGGTCTCTCTTCCTTCCTCTAATTGTTCAACTTTGTTCAAAGCATGAATTTTTCTTCCAAGGAAAAAAAAGAAAACAGGAAAAAAGCATCCAAGGCCCCAACCTCCATGTAAGCGGATCCCGAGGAGCCTGTGGCCGTGGGCTCAGAACGACTTCACTGAACACGGTGGTGAGGGTGAGCAGCTCCAGGCCAGGCCAGCGCCAGACGTGGGCTTTCCAGCCGACCAAGATGTCACCGTCTCTGGAAACAGTTGACTAAGGAGTCCCAAACCTCCAACAGCATCTGAGCTCATCTGCAGGTCTGCCACCTGGCTGGGAGGACCCCGGGGTGGCCCAGTGCTTGGAGGACATCCCCCAGACCTGAGGACCAGCACCCAACACAGACAATCAGCTGGGGTCTCCTGGGAGGCCCCACAGCCAGCAGATCTGCTTCATATGCCAACTGCACCACTCCTGTAGGGGCTTCAGGCAAAACAGTCCTCAGTTTCCCCAACCGGCAAACAGGTTCATTCATCGCTGTCTTCTCAGGCCTCCAGCCTGGATTTGTTCTAGCATCAAAGAGGATGTATCTGGGCTGCTTTGTAATGTGAGAGTTGTGTTCAGAACGTGGGAAAGCTCAGCAGAGTACAGCGAGGGACCAGGCTAGCTCACTACTCAGGTGAGACACAGAGGATAACGAGCCACACCCAGACGACCGATGAGAGATTGGAATATGTAGTATTGGGAATGGTAGTGCTGAATTAAAGGTAACTGTCATTGCTTTTGGGTTATTCTTCTCCGGACCACCTTGTCTTGTAGTAACTGATCTAACCCTATGGCCAGAGGCCCAGTTTGGTCTTGTACTTAGCTGTTTTTTCTTGTCACATGGATGGAACACTCTTCTGCCCACGGTAATCTTGCATCACACAGAGAGGGGCAGGCTGAGTAGGTAGAGCAGTGGGGGGTTTTTAAGACAGTGAGTCACCGTGCAGCTGAGAGCTGACCAGTGGCCATGTCATTCTCACTCTGCACTGTGAGCTCATTGCTCACGCGTCCACCTGCAGGGCCAAGGAGGGGTGCAATGGAATCTTCAGTGATCCTTGTATCTGGATAACTGAGTGAGTCTGGAGCACAGGAACCTGGGAAGTGTGTGTGTGTGTGTATGTGTGTGTGTGCGTGTGGCAGAAAGGATGTGCAATTTCCACCATGACAAAGTGATAACGCTCCTTGGGTAAGGCAGAGGATGCTTTGCCCAGGGGCCTTCCCCACTGCCGCTTCCATCCTGCCGCCGCCAGCCTCTTAGAGCTTTTCAGAAGGTTTCCTTAGATCATCTCATCATTCATGTGCAGCCTCAAGGAGGGCTTTGTGGCAGGTGCAGAGTGATGACGACCACACTGTGCTGGGCAGAAATCCCACGGCAAGTGCAGGAGCGGACTCTGTGGCTGTGTCTTAGCATGTCCTTCAGTCAAAGCCAAGGACAACATTCAAGCACAACCGAGTGATTCACACTCTGCCAGGAGGAATGAAAATTGGCACAACCTTTTTAGAGCACAATTTGGCAGTATGTTGCAGAACTGAAGATGTACCTCCCCTGTAACTCAGCTTTTCCTTTGAGAACTCTGTCCTGCAGAAAACATGCCCCTGCGTGCACGGAGGCACAGGCGCAGCTTGTCTGTTGCAGCGTGCCAGTGACAGAGAAGACCGGGAGGGCCCAGGTGCTCATCCAGATGCACAAACATGCAAGGCTGCTAACTATGCCAAGTCTGCAATTGCAAAACAAAGTGAGACGATGCACATTCCATTGATAGGAGCTGTAAGAAACCTTGAGGCGATTCAGTGTGCAGACTGCGGAGACATGGAAAGCCTCCAAATATAGATTAAGCAGGAAAAGTGGGTTGCAAAATGCTTAGTGTAGTGATATCCTTTTTGATAGTAGATGCATAGGAACAAAATGGAGATGAATAGAGTCAGAGCTGTTAGTAGTCGTGATCTTGGAGGAGGAAGGCGGGGAGTATGGGAGACTTGTCATGTCCTGCATTAATTTCTGCGGTACTTAACTTCACGGTGAGGATACGTCAGCTTTAAAAAAAAAAAAGAAGTCAGTAGAGGAGATTAAGGAAACACACACACAGCCACACCTCAGGGTAAATAGATCCAAGGTACTGGGGCTAGAGTGGGGCGGGTATGGCTTTGGAAGCATGCCACGTACAGCACGGTTTCAGAAATCCAGAGAGGAAGCTCTTCGGTGGGCAGTGGCCCTGGTTTGTGGGGATCTGCGGCACAGGCAGCTCACAGGTTTAGAGAACACCAACCATGATTGTGTGGTCTGAAGTGCTCATGGAGAGGGAAGCTCTGGGCCTCAGGGCAGAGGGGTGGTGGCCCCGGGCTACCTGGCTGCGTGGAGAGCCCCTTCTGTTTCTCCCCATGCTGGGTACAAAGGTTCTGTGCTCACAACTGGCTCTGGCTTAGGAACAGATCTGGGTGCCAGCCAGCAAGGGAGGAAGAGCTTCCTGACGGGCTCCCACCCAGTGCCAGCTGGGGTCACGGAACAGCAGGTCTGCCCTCCTTCCGTACCTCCCAGAGGCCTGGGAAAAACTTCCCTCTGTTAACCCACTAAAGCTTCTGAGTTAGCGAGGTAACACAAGTCCGCCTGCAAAAAAACTGGGGCCGTTAACTGGGAAGCAGAACTCCGCGCACTCTGCTGTGGCCTTCGCATGTCCCAGCAGCTGTCGCACTAGGCTTGAACCTGGGAAACTGGCAAACACCAGACACGCACTGCCCAGAGCTCTGGAGGCTGGGGAAGTCCAGGGTCACGGTGCTGGCAGAGTCAGTGCCTGCCGACGGTCCCTTCTCAGAGATGGTGCCTTCCTTGCCTCCTCACGTGGTGGGAGGGAGGAACAAGCACCCTGGGGCCTCAGGGATTCAGGGCTCATGAGAGTACAGCCCTCACGACCCAGTCGCCTCCCACACGCCCCGCCTCGTGATGCCATCTCTGTGGGGGTCAGGACACAACACGTGGATTTGGGGAGTTCACCAGCACTCAGGCCATGGCAGCTGGTTCCCACAGACAAGTGACAGGGTGAGGCCCCCACCCCAGCAAGACCTCAACTTCCTGAGTCTGAGGAAGAGAACACCTGCCTTTGTTGGATCAATAAAATCCACTGCACCTGCTGCAAATGTGGCCTGGGGTCCCCCTTGGTCTTTGGTCCACTTTTACTGTTTCTAAGGAAAGGCCCAGACTGTCGTGTGAGGCTTTGGGACACTGAGAAGATGGAGAGAAAAAACGCATCAAACCCATCCTGTGGATTTCCTAAGTGTGTTTATTCCTTTCAGTGTGGTTGTGTGAGGCCAGTGCTGTGGCAGGTTAGGCCACCACTTGGGACTGTCATCCACACGGGAGTGCAGGTTCCAGTCCCGCCTGTGTGCTTCCAGTCCAGCTCCCTGCTAATGCTCCTGGGAAGGCAGTAGAAGGTGACCCAAATGCTTGGGCCCCTGCACCCATGTGGGAGACCCAGAGGAAGCTCCTGGCTCCTGGCTTTGGCCTGATCCATGTGGGGAGTCAACAGGTGGAAAGAATCTCTCCCTCTCTCTCTGTCTCACTCTGACCTTCAAACAGATAAATCTATTTTTAAAACTGGTTTTGAGTTCAAGGGGAAGGGAACACGTGTTTTACCTGCTGCAAGGAATTGCCTTGGTAGAAAACTGAGTAAGGGAAGGACTGAGCCATTCCCCGGGGGCAGTGAGCCCTCTGTCCCAGGAAGCATGTAAGAGAGCTAAGGGCTGTCTGCCAGGCTTGCTGGAGGAGGGGAGGGTAAGCAGGGAGTGGCGTTCCTCCCGGCGTCACATCAGAACGTGGGCTTCGTGAGCACGGCAGCCGCGTCTGCTCGGTCACGGTTCTGTGCCAAGCACCTGGGCAGTGCTCCAGGCAGAGCATGTGTGGGACCTATTTTTTGGAACAAGGAAGTAAAAAGGTGCATGAAGGAAGGACACGGAAGCCCTGTGCATTTGCTGCCCAGCACGCATCCTGGCAGAGCAGCAGAGGCTCCATCAGGTGCCTGCTGGGACTCAGAGTTCTCGTCCTTGCTCCATCAATCCAGTTCAGCATTCCCACCCGCTGGAAACTATGGCCCTCCAGGGGTCAGTGAGGTTGTCTGAATTTCAGACAGGACTACTCACCCTTATGGATGAACTAGGCTTTTTTTTTTTTTTTTTTAATTGAGATCTGAACTTTCCTTAGGACACATAGTAGTGGCAACATGGAACAGAATAGAGAACCCAGAAATTTCTCCACATGCGTATAGCCAACTGATTTTTGATAAAAGGGCTCAGATCATACAGTGGACTAAAGAGAATCTCTTCAACAAATGGTGTTGGCAAAACTGGATTTATATATGTAGAAGGATGAAATTAGATCCATACCTCTCACCATATATAAAAATCAACTCAAGATGGATCAAAGACCTAAGCTTAAGGCCTAAGACTATGAAGTTGCTGGAGGAAAATGTAGGGCAGACACTTCAAGACATTGGTGTAGGGAATGAATTCTTGGACAAGACCCCCAAAGCACAGGCAACAACAGCAAAACTAAATAAGTGGGAATATATTAAACTCAGAGAAGGAAATGATCAATAGAGCAAAAAGACGTCCAACAGAATGGGTAAAAATATTTGCAAACAACCCATCTGACAAAGGATTGATATCCGAATATATCAGCAACTCTAAAAACTCAACAACAAATAATTAATCCTTGAGAAATGGGCAAAGGACTCAACAGACAGTTCTCAAAAGAATAAATACAAATGGCCAAAAAATATATGAAAAAATGTTCAGCATTGCTAGCCATCAGGGAAATGCAAATCAAAACTGCAATGAGATATCACCTCACCCCTGTCAGAATGGATAAAACCCAAAACACAGAGAGTAACAGATGCTGGGGAGGATGTGGAGAAAGCTTGTACATTGTTGGTGGAAATGTAAATTTGTGCAGCCACTGTGGAAAACGTGTGGGGATTTCTTAAAAAACTAGAGACAGACTTGCCATATGATCCAGCAACCCCACTACGGGGTATATACCCAGAAGACTGGAACAGAATGTATCACAGAGATTCCTGCACCTCCATGCTCATAGCAGCACTGCTCACAACAGCCAAAATTTGGAATCCACCAAGGTGTCCATCCTCAGGTGAATGGGTAAAGAAAATGTGGTATATATACACAATGGAATATTATTCAGCTATGAAAAAGAATGAAATTCTGCCATTTATAGCTAAATGGATACAACTGGAGGACATGATGTTGAGTGAAATAAACTGGGCCCAGAAACATGTTCTCCCTTGTTTGTGGGGACTAAAATTCACAAAACAAAGCAAAAAAAGTAAGAAACATCTGTGTGTATCAGTGTTGCTGCAAGTAGTTTTGTAAAACTTTGTTGTATACCTTTATGAAACCAATGGTTCAGAATGTTATACTACAATAGCTGTAATGATCTATGATTACTTTAGAATTTACTGTAAATGAGTGAAATGGTCATTTTTCCATTGTTATGATTTATAGCTGTTTATATTTCCACTAAACTGGGGTCCTTTTGCTTTTTTACTTGTTAAACTTCTTACTCGGTGAAATATTAAGCCTTTCTACTGTAATGTAAATTTAAAATGTATTATCTCAGAAGCTACCAAACAAAAAAGAAATAAAGGGAGAAGGAAGGAGAGTGGGAGGTAAGGAATGAGGGAGGAAGGGAACATCATTGTTCTTAAAGTTTTATCTACAAAGCACACTGC